GAACACAGCATAATGAACAGGCTGCGATGTCAAGATTTCAATGCTGGAGTGTGTGTGTGTGTGTGTGTGTGTCCGACTCCGCGCGCGCGCGAGAGAGAGAGAGGCGCGAGAGAGAGAGAGACACGCGGGCGCGATCGAACAGTGGAGACATAAAAACATACTCCGTCATTTTGTTAATACAGGACATCATTCAGTCTGCAAAGTGTTTACTTATATTTGTGTAGGCCTATACTCGCAATAAAACACAACATTGTGCTTTTGTCACACTGTATTTCTTGTCAAACTGTAACCTACAACTGTCACACACCGTTTTAAAAGCAAAACATATTTATCCAACCCTTTTTAAAACAGTCTGTGTGTTCCATCTTTTGGACATTCATCATTAGGGGTGGGAATCTTTTACCATCTCACGATTCAATTCGATTCCGATTCTTGAGGCCACGATTCGATTCAAAATCGATTTTCGATTCAAGAAGATTTTCGATTTAAAACGATTCGATTTTATCCATAATGATTTCTAATCGGGTTTCTGATCATGATCTACTCTCATCTGCTTGCTATACAGAATGACAAACGGAGACCAGTGTTTCCTCTAGGATTTTTTCCAGCTGTGGTGGCAGGCCCATTTCGCCAGGGGGAGGGGGCGTGGCCCATGAGTGATATTCCCATTGACCACGCCCCCTTACCCCAGGCGTTTAAACCTCCCCTAAGCATTATAACATAATAACATGAAAGGCTCGAATAAGAGCGGCAAAGCGATTATGCGCATCCCGTGCGCAGAATGATGCACTTGAAGCAACGTGAAGTCACAGCGCGCAGCGCTCCGGATTGAAAAGTTCAAAGCACAAAGCGAAGAGATTATATCTGTCTATCTATGCTTAATGTATTATATATATGCAACAGTTTATTGAGCATTTTCTTTTAACAGTTTTAAATTTCAGTTACAGTGCGCATGAAGAACAATTCATAGCGCTCTCCAGTGCTGTAATCTAACAGACACCCGGGAGAAAGGATTATGATTTAGAAAACGCTATAACGCGACGCGCTGTGTGAATGCTGAATGGAGAATGACTGAGGAGAGATGAGTTTCTATTAACTTTAACTAACGACTTAAATATTCATTTTTACCTCACATTATGCTATTGAATGACTTTAGAAGTCTTGGAATATAGTGCGAACACTTTATGGTGCTTTACAATGTTTTTTATGCCTTTAGCTTAACAATAACACAATGGTATACACATTAATATCGGACCTCACTGAGAAGCTGCAGCCGTGGCGGGATTATTTTAGGTGTGGCGGCCGGCCACGGCAGAATGATAGAAGCATCATATTTAGAAGCATCAGAAGCTTCATAGAAGCATCCATATTTGCTTCCTTTGATTTGCCGCTCACGTTCAAAAACCGGCTGCGTGCATGACGTCCGGACGTCCCGTATAGGCTATAGTTACAAAAATGGAGGCGAACAGCCAGCTGATTTTATTTATTTATTAAATCGATTCTTGGACATTTCAGATCGATTCTGAATCGTTGCAAATGAGAATCTAGATTCTTCTGTGAATCGATTTTTTGGCACACCCCTATTCATCATATCGCATTGGTTTTCATTTCTTGTCCTCAAAACAGAGCACTAATCTGTTTATTTTTAAGTTACACATTGATTAAAAAAGAAAGTGAAATATGTTGGGAGATTATTTTATACGGAAATCAATTATTTATAATTCTGATGAGAATAAAGTTAGGGTTAATTAAAATTAAGGAAAACAAATATATTGATCTGAAATATAGCAAATTAATTTTAAATTCATTCAGGTACAATTACCAAACATATCTCATATCTATCTTTTTATTAGTTTAATTAATAAACCAATTATATAAAACTATTATCAGTGCACTATAAATAAACTGGTTCTATGCCTTTATTAATAAAACTTATTTAAAAAAAACAAGGCTTAAGACATTTATAAAAATGCCTAATATATTTCTGTTTTGCTTTTTACTCCATTGTACCGAAATCGTACCGAACCGTGATGTCTCAAAAAAGAAATCAAGCAGGGGGCACATACGATCACAACCCCCCACCACCCCCGTCCCGCCGCGCCACTGTCACCTTTTTTACTCTGAGGAGTTTGCAGGTCTGATTGTGAATTTAGACTTATGTTTACATTCTAATTATTTGAGTTTTCCATGGTTGAGTTGACATTTCTGTCTTGGGATTGTAATCAGAGGAAGGGTAAGTTTAAAATAAAAATGTTTAAATGTAATATATTTTTTCTCCTGGTCCTTATTTTAAATGGGTCATAAAAAAATCAATAATTATCGATATCGACCGATATGAAACACTGATATCGTGATACAGTTTTCAGCCATATCGCCCAGCCCTACATGGAATGCAGCCTTAAAATTGTGTTAAAATTAAGCAGCTTAATAATTAACAATTTCACACCAAAATCAAAATGAAGAAACTGAAGAAAACCTAAGTTCTCGCCTGTACAATAGAGAGCTTCCATTCCAGAGAGCAGAAGAACAGGATTCAGGGGAAGCAAGTGCAACACTAATTTCAGAAATATATAAACATAAAAAAATTAAACACAAATGTCACCAAATACAGTTGTGTTTATCTGCAGCTAGGGATGTTTCAATCGATCGGCCGCAGAGCGATATCGGCTGATAATCACATTCTAAGACTCGAACAGGAGTCACTAAAATAGGCCGATCTCACCAAACAATTGCAAATTGCTGACATCAGATTTTGGTGCCGCAGTCGCCATCACCCGTGTGGAGTTATTACGCGGTCTCAAGAAACAATGCGTTTTAAGCCTTGCGATTTAACAATAAGTGATTTGAAACCGCTCGCGCGCAGTAAGCAGCTAAACAGTGCTCATTCAATATGTGCGTGCGCTGTCTGAGAGACAGGTCCTGAGCGTAGTCAGCGCACACTCCTGGAACGCGCGCATAAAGCTGCTGCTCATACAGAGTGTGAGTACTTATCTTACTTGACTTGAAGGGTCAAATACACACACTTATGTGTCAAAATGCCCGTTTTTGTGAGTATCTTCATAAACACAGTCATTTATGTATTAAGTGAATGTAAACAGTGCATTTGGTGTTAAAGTGAAAGCAGGCTAATAAGCTGCTGCCCTCCTTGCTATTCATGTTAATCAAACAGTCTGTCATTGCTCTTAACTAAATCACTTTTGTAAAGATTATGCACTGTTTTTGAAAATTGTATTACTTTATTCAATTTATGTTGTATTTCTATTTCTAGTGCTTGATGTTTAGCACTCGACTGTTGATGATGAGCGACTAATCAGTACAGCAGCAAATGTTTTGGATGAAAAGAGGAATAGACTATCTCCCCCAAATGCAGAAATGCTAGAATTTATAAAGAGAATACTGCCTTAGCAACTTAAGTAGGACGTAAGAAGGAAGGACACAAATACTCAGCATTTGTTGAATAATATTCCTGATCATTACCTGACTACACAATGTGTTAATTTAGGAGTTGCAGTGTAACAGGACTGACAACCGTATTCTGCTGCTGTGTGAACGTGGCCTTATATAAAGCTTGAATGATCGAGACAGTATTGGCAGATAATGATGACAAAAAAAAATCGGTAATCAGTATCGGCTACAAAAATCCTGATCAGAGCATCCTTATCTGCAGCAGAACTGGACACGTCAAGCTCAAATTTTGTTTTATGGTACATTTCATACCCCAACAAGGAAAAAAACATTTAACGCGATCACTGGGGAAAAAAACTCCACAAGAATCCACTGTTTATATTCAAATCTATACGCTTTGGTGTTAAAGGGGAACTTGGCAACTCTAGCCATTTCTTCGCTGATTTTCACTTTTGTTGTCGCATGTTTTCTCAACGAGCTCCCCCTACAGCTGTGCGGCGTATATTTCACAACACTGTCATAAAAAAACTCACTTGCGGCACCTTCCTCCCGCTTTCCATCGGGAAACATTATGTGCATTTGTTATTATCGGAGCCGGCCAACTTTATCGTGTGGAGCTATGTCTACCGAGGTAATTCATCATGCACAGTATCATAGAATTATGTCGAATTGCCATAAAGCAGTTCGTGTTTCTCGCTCGTTCTCGCTTCTCACGAGACTTCCTATTTCCAATTTACCGGGACGTTAGTCCCGATGTTGCAAGGTTGGTTTTCCGCCTGGGAACGCTGGGGGGAGCGGGGAAAGTCACCATTCTCTCCAGAACAGGTTATTGAACCATTCAAATGATTTCTAAACAGTTTTATTAAGTTGAAATAGTTGCCAAGTGCCCCTTTAAAGCGCATTTGCTACATCCCTAGAGTTTAGATATTTAAAGAAATTTCTTCAACTTTTAAAAAGAATGACCAAATAAAGCTACAAATAAAAGTTAGCTTCCATCTGCTCTTTGCAGCTGTTATTAGGCCAATTAATCATTACCAACAACAGCTCGTTGCAGACTTCAGAACAGTTTAACGGGTGAAGAATGACACTGTCCTGCAGCACTACAGATGATGAGTGGAATGAGAATTTTAGAATGACACGACATTTATTACACTGTATTCAACTACAACAGCTTGTTCTGTGCGTCATACGTCATTAAGCCATTTCAGTTTTCAGACCAATCAAGTGTTTACAAGTACTATCGAATGGATTAGAAAAGGTTAAAACCAGCCCTTTCAATCCGAATGAGATTTCAATCGGATTTGGCCAAATCATTCCGATTGACATGGTTACATCATGTGACTTTTTTTTATTCGGACTGTGCTACGCTACTAGTCTGATTACAAATGACAGATTACAGATTATTAGGGTCCATGTAAACGCAGCTAGTGATCCAGCTTTAGGGAAGCTTTAAATTCAATGAAAACAGATTGATGTTTTGTCTGTAGCTTGGTAGCTATAAAATATATTATTATCATTGTTGTGGTCACAATAAAACTAGATAAAGTTTGTCAACAAAAAAAATAACTGTTGAGTGTTAAGACTGTGTTACTTACTGCCATGACCAGTTCAAAAGGATGTTTGTACACCCTCACAGGGGACTGATACTTCTGCACCATGGCGAAGTCTACGGTGGTGCTGACAATCTAAAAACAAAAAACAAAGCCAGGAAAGCAGTCAATCATTCCATGCTTATGTAATGAACCCAACAGATTTTGGCAGATTTCTCAAAATTTGTAATATTAGCCTACATCACACATGCAAATCAGCACAAAGTGGACAGACATGCATCACTTAAACAAATCTGACTACACATTATAAAAGTCTTAAGCTTCAATATGTAAAGAATTGTGTAGAGGCATGTGGGTAGGAATTCCAGAAATGTCCAGTTCATGCAGTCAATTTTATGTTGATTCCGCAGCCTGAATACACATTCAGAATAAGAAAATGTTGAAAACATCTTTAGGGGGTTGTTGTTTCCCAATGTATTTAGACACAGAGAATGCAAAGTGTCCTCTAACGTGTCCTTTACTAATTTACAAGTAAATGCTGTTCAAGTTTGATTTTTTACGTCTGTCCCGTTAAATAACAAGCAAAGGTAAATTTTATAACAGCAATCCTCCCTGCCGCATACATTACCAACACATATCATTCTGTAATAAATAAAACCCATTCCTGTGATATGCACTGACATTAAACTAGATTAAACTGTATTTACCAGCATGTTAATTGGTGTGTTGTGTACAAAACACAACACAAAACAAAATGACAATTACATTCAATCATAATTAAAACGTGCCTTCTCTAACCCAGAGGCGAGAAACATCTATAAACGAACTATATCCAAAACACGTGATATTATAACTTATCGGGTATTAAAATAGCGTCTCTGAATAAATGTAACGTTTGCTTATTTCTTCGCATTTAAATGTTTTGTATTACGAATGACGTGTCTGATCTCTGCAGCTAACGTAATTAGCATGTTAGCACACCCATTAACGACAAACACCCCAATACCCTAACATTAAACTATAACATAATACTCCTTTAATCCAAAGTACTCTATAATTTAACCTATTATTACCAAAACAAGGAATGGTTATTATAGGAGACGGCCGACGTAACGTTACAGTGTTAGCAAACAGTGTAAGCAAACAGTATTAGCGAGTTTAGCGCTAATGACAAAATGACGTTATTAACATTGTTCGATCATTATCTAATTTCAGACACATTCTGTAGCGCATTTTTGTATGTGTGTTTTGTAAATGTACTTACTAAAACAAACTATGAAGAACTGAAAACAGATTCGTAGCAGCAGATAAAGCAGTATAGTTAAGAATGTAAAGGTTGTTCTTCAGCTTCTAAATGCTGGAATTGGTTGGTTCTGGATCTCCATGATATTATCTCTCTGAATCAATGTCGAACAGTGACTCCGATCAAACGCGGCCCGGACTCACAGCTCCGCTGCTGTCGAATCCAATAGCGTCTGGCTGCAGACAAGTGACGTCACTTGCACTCTCGGACTTGCACGCTCAGACACGAGCGCTTCCTCTGCAAGTGACGTCACTTGCACTCTCAGACACGAGCGCTTCCTCTGCAAGTGACGTCACTTGCAATCGACGCCTGATCTCTACGGAACGCGATCGTAATAGTCTTTAAACGAAACGCGTGAAATTTGACCGCGTCAACACGAAGTGTTTGTCCGCGGCAATTTTTTACGTGTTTCTTTTGAACGCGTAGACACGCTCATTTTGGTCGTGTTAAGGTGTCATTTGTCATTTTGTTGACAGTTTTTTTTCAAATTGCTAAAACACTACAAGTGGAATTTGAGGCTCACTCAGTGAAACCATTCACTCATGTACCCAATCTTTAGACCAAGCCTGCAAAAATACAAGGACATTATATGCTTTGCACTCAGTTTGCATTTGAAAAACAAACTATTTGCAAAACTCTAAACACATTTCTCTACATTACACACATCATTCAAAACTAACAGCTCTTGTGTTTCATTTGGGAAACACTGGCATTTAAATGCCACATTAATTTACTGATGACCTACAGCCAATCATGTGGGAAAACACTTGTACATAAATTGATCACTTAGAAATCAAAACTCAGTTTTGAGAAAGAAAGAAATTATTTTTACTATTATTATATATTTAATTATTTTCAAGACATTTTGGACAATTTCATGCTCCTAACTTTGTGGGAACAGTTTGTAGATGTAAAACATCAAGATGATGCATTTTTTTTCTTTTTATTGTAAATGTCAATTTACAGTTATTACACACAGTTAATGTGCAAAACAGACAAATACAAGGTAGAAATAGACAATATACAACATATATAAAAACACATTAGCACATTATTCACTTTGCTCTAGTGTAGTTCGACAGTTTACCTTTAATTTCATGACATCGACTACATGTTCAAGAAACATTTGCATGTCATTCATTACAGTAAAGATGAAGCAAAAGGGTTCCAGAGCATCGATTCTGTCCTGTGGAAACTCAGCCTTCTCTAATCTCTCAATGGCTTCCGCAACGTCTTGATCCTCCATACACTCTACTTTGGGCAAATGAACAGAACCATACAGTGCACTAGATTGATCCAAACACCACTTGCTGGCTATCTTCAAATCTGGCATCAATCGACTCTGTGAAATAACACGGAGAACAAGGGATTGCAAGTGACGCCACAGCCGGTAGCGGAGAGCAGGTGTCGACTGCAAGTGACGTCACTTGCAGCGGAAGCGCTCGTGTCTGAGCGTGCAAGTCTGAGCGTGCAAGTCTGAGAGTGCAAGTCTGCAGCCAGACCCTTCTCGTCGAATCTGCTCCATCACAAACTGCAGAGGACAGAACAACACTGTCTGCGCCTCCTCCTTATCTCAGTATTTTTCCGAACAGTCTATACTATTTTTATTTTTTATTAAAAAAATTTTATTGAACACATAACCGCAAATACATAGTTCTATCTCAAAACAGAATTAAACAACAATAACATACTTGTAAGCAAAAAGGATAGTAAGCAAGTAAATTAAACAGAAAAAAAAAAAAAGAAAAAAAAACATTTTTAAAAATTAAATTAAAATTTGAGCCAGAGGTAACATATAATTTAAAATAAATTCAAGAGAGTGAGAAATCCTTAGAGTCCCTTTTTGTTTTCATTATAAAAAAGCATAAATATTATTTTTAGTGCACAATGTAGCAGACTTTAAAGCTTTGGCATTGTTAGAAGAGATAGTACCCAAATAACATTTCAGATCTTTGCAAAAAATAATAAAAAGAGGTTTGACAGACAAAAATGTACACTTGTGTCCAAAAAAACTTGGCAAGAAAAATAAATAGATTTATAAGAAAATACTTGTCCTTTAGATTCTTGTCAGAATTATAAAATCCAAATAATACATCCTGAAATACCAAAGAAAAATTGACTAATAAAGAAGCACGTACAAACAGACGAAATTTCTTCCAAAACGTAGCTACATAAACACAATCCCAAAAAAGGTGAGGTACAGACTCGTCTTCCACACCACAGAAGGAGCATAGGGGATCCAACTCAGGAAACATTTTTTTTATATAAAGATTGACTGGGTAAAATCGATGTAACAACTTGAAAGATATCTCTTTAACCTTATTAGTGATTAAATATTTGTTGGATAGAGACCACACTTTCTTCCAGGGAATATCATTAAAACAATTACTCCAATATGATATTACAGAAGGGACAGTAATAATATCATTCTGAAAAAGTTGTCTAATCTTTTTATTCCTTAGAGAGGGATTAGATAAAAAACAGATCTTCCCTATTGCTGTCTCACAAGGATGTATCAAAGAGGTAGAAGAGAGTAAAGAATCCGCGGAGTTTTTTAAAAGTGCAACAGCTCCACTTGCTGGCATCCATCACTATGGCAAAGTCTCGTAGGGTGACAGGAATACAATATTTAGTTAAGAATTCAGAATAAGAAAACAAATGACCGTTTGACTTTACAAGTTGAGAAACCAAAAGAATATTATTATTAAACCAATCTGAAAAGAAAAGCGTTTTATTTTTATATCGGATATCATGGTTATGTCATAGCGGTGTGGTGCCGAATTCTGACCCCCGCCAAATTATTACCCCCCTAGTATGGTAGGTTTAGGATCAGTTGTTGGGAGGGGTTAGGATTAGGGGTGGGGTTAGGATTAGGCAATCAGGTACTGATTTCAACGAGGGGGGTAATAATTTGGCAGGGAGTCGAAATTCGGCACAACAGCGGCAAAGGGAAAACAGGAAGCAAAAGCGAGTTACTCAGTTTAATGAACAGTAGGCCTAGTGCTGAACAAATGACACGGACGTGGAATGGATGGCGCAGGGACTTCGATGGTCAGTGGTGAAAGACAGGAAACGAGACGAGGTGAAACAACGATGACGAATCCACACCAAGACGACGATAATCCACACCAAGACGACGATAATCCACACCAAGACGACGATAATCCACACCAAGACGAAGATAATCCACACCAACGACAATCCACGGAAGACACGAACACTCGATGACAGGACTGGAACACCGAGACAGCAAACAACGATCTGACAAAGAGGACAAAAACCGGTGAGTATATACACTCACCGGCCACTTTATTAGGTACCCCATGCTAGTAACGGGTTGGACCCCCTTTTGCCTTCAGAACTGCCTCAATTCTTCGTGGCATAGATTCAACAAGGTGCTGGAAGCATTCCTCAGGGAGTTTGGTCCATATTGACATGATGGCATCACACAGTTGCCGCAGATTTGTCGGCTGCACATCCATGATGCGAATCTCCCGTTCCACCACATCCCAAAGATGCTCTATTGTGTTGAGATCTGGTGACTGTGGAGGCCATTTTAGTACAGTGAACTCATTGTCATGTTCAAGAAACCAATTTGAAATGATTAGAGCTTTGTGACATGGTGGAAGAATCCATCAGAGGATGGGTACATGGTGGCCATAAAGGGATGGACATGGTCAGAAACAATGCTCAGGTAGGCCGTGGCATTTAAACGATGCCCAATTGGCACTAAGGGGCCTAAAGTGTGCCAGGAAAACATCCCCCACACCATTACACCACCACCACCAGCCTGCACAGTGGTAACAAGGCATGATGGTTCCATGTTCTCATTCTGTTTACGCCAAATTCTGACTCTAACATCTGAATGTCTCAACAGAAATCGAGACTCATCAGACCAGGCAACATTTTTCCAGTCTTCAACTGTTCAATTTTGGTGAGCTCTTGCAAATTGTAGCCTCTTTTTCCTATTTGTAGTGGAGATGAGTGGTACCCGGTGGAGTCTTCTGCTGTTGTAGCCCATCCGCCTCAAGGTTGTGCGTGTTGTGGCTTCACAAATGCTTTGCTGCATACCTCGGTTGTAACGAGTGGTTATTTCAGTCACTGTTGCCCTTCTATCAGCTCGAACCAGTCTGGCCATTCTCCTCTGACCTCTGGCATCAACAAGGCATTTCCGCCCACAGAACTGCCGCTCACTGGATGTTTTTTCTTTTTCGGACCATTCTCTGTAAACCCTAGAGATGGTTGTGCGTGAAAATCCCAGTAGATTAGCAGTTTCTGAAATACTCAGACCAGCCCTTCTGGCACCAACAATCATGCCACGTTCAAAGTCACTCAAATCAACTTTCTTCCCCATACTGATGCTCGGTTTGAACTGCAGGAGATTGTCTTGACCATGTCTACATGCCTAAATGCACTGAGTTGCCGCCATGTGATTGGCTGCTTAGAAATTAAGTGTTAACGAGCAGTTGGACAGGTGTACCTAATAAAGTGGCCGGTGAGTGTATATGGTGAGGAAATGAGCTGCAGCTGGTGATGGTATGATGATCAGCTGGAGCGGATCAGGTAATGACACAACACTCACACGCCCACTACGCACGTGCATTCATACAACAACATAAACACAAGACGAGAAGGAACCAGAGAATAGTATATACCGTGACAGGTTATTCCAAATAAAATACCTGTGGGGACTAAAATTGTGTTTGTAAATTAAGTGCCAGGCCAAAAGCATCTGCTTATGGAAATTGGAAAATTTGATGGGCAATTTAGAGATATTATAATTACATACTAACAGAAAGGGGAGACCACCAACCTTAGAAAAAATATAATTGGGAATAGCATTCCAAATGGAATCAGAATCATTCAAGAACTGCCTCAACCAATTGATCTTAAAAACATTGTTTAAAGAAGCAAAATCAAGAAAGTTAAAACCGCCATTTTCAAAGGTATTTATGACAACAGATTTTTTTATGTAATGTCTCTTGTGTTTCCATAAAAAATCAAAAAGCATTCTATCGACCTCTACACAAATTGTCTTGTCCACATGCAAAGAAAGAGCAGGGTAGGTCAATCTAGAAATACCCTCTGCTTTGGCGAGGAGAGCCCTTCCTCGTAAAGACAGGTCTCTTTGGAGCCAGGAATTTAACTTTTTCTTAG